TGGACCATTCGTGTTGGAGTTTTTGAAGGAATGCTTTATGCCGTGCTTCGCGCCATGCAGCAAGAACGGAAAGGGGAAATAGCCAACATCGTCGTTCAGGGGGTAGATCCACAGAGGGTAATGAGGTACTGGATGGATCATGAAGAAGGCCTAGGCTTTCCCCCCAAAAGGCAAACTGATGGGAAGCTTGCAAACCCCCAATGTGTCTAAGAAAATCAGCTCGAGTAGGTGCAAGCAAATCAAGATAGATCGGATTGGCGAACTACTTTCGTCATGTATTGGGTTAGATGCGGACTCCACAGCATCAACCGGTACAGGCGGCCACCTAGGCATAATTTTGGGTGATGACGGTCAGATTCATGAGGTGGTCAAAGCATATTTGAAGAAATGGAAGAAGTTAAAGGGAGGAAAGTTGTCAACGATGCGGACCTCTGGCGCCACAACAGATAATTCACAGGCTCTAGAAATTGAGAAACTTGATGACCTGGCCGATTGCTTGCTACAAGGGATTACATGGCTAGAGTGGCAGAACACACTACAAAATGTCGCTCGTCACGGGTTTGATGTTGTTTCATCGAAAATAGGTGATTGATTCGAGAAGGTTTAATTGCGATGACAACCGACTGCAACTAGAACCTGAACAAGTTCCACTCTATACGGTATTCCCATATTAGCTATGCCGTTTGTTGGCCAGGATTGGAAGTTGATTGGACCTGGAACTAAGGGTTGGGCTTTAATTTTGCTTTTTGCATTCTTTTAACTTTCATTCTCATCAAGGATTGTGATATACGAATTTTGTTTTTTTCTGTTCTGGTAGAAGCTAATTAATTATTATGAGAGACATGTTTTCCTTCGCAGCGAACAAAATGCTTTCGCGCTTAACCGTTTTCAAGTTCCCATGTAATAGAAGGGTATAGGAAGTTAAGGAACAATATTAGTGGGGAAGAGGTTTCAGGAGTAGTGTGTAGTTTCGCCTATGCAGTTACAAGGTCCCAAGGGTCAAGAACCCGCACAAGGAGAGTGGGACAATACGTAGAAAGCATACCCATGGAATTAGATCAACGAACTGGAACGTTTCAAAAATCGGAATTATTCAAGGAATGTATAAAATTGTTAAACTAATATGTGTGCACTTCACTGCCTTTATTATCTCCCCGTTCAGTTTCACTTACCATGCTTAACTAATTGCCTACGTCGTGGAGCAGAACAGGATAAGAATAGGATTGAAGAAAAGCTTTATCAATGGATTCTAGGCGAAAGCCAATAGAAGAGGAGAAAAGAGAAAAGAGGAAAAACAACGCATGCCATGTAGCTATCCAAGGAGAGACTCCGAATCAGAAAAATATACGAGTCCTAAATTCGTCAAGGCCGGAAGGAAACTGTCTCACGGTAAATTTTTAAAAATCTCTTGCTGCATTTCTGTCAAGCTTGAGATAAATAGTAGGTAGTAGAAACAAATAATCACAGCTGTTAGAAAAAGTATCGAATAAGGGAAGAACATATAAATAAAATGAGGACTGGAAAAGAAAATAAAAAATTAACCTGGGACATGGGCCAAGGGAACGTTTGATGACGGATTCCACATATAACTAGCTAGTTAACTATTGACACAATGAATTATGAAAGAGGATTAAACTTTCTATTATTCCTTTTTGCTGTCTGCACCAAAACCCAAGGCCCTTTCTCAAATCCCATTTCGTATGCTAGAAAATATCCTGCCCAAAAGATCCAAATAAAATAAAAAACAAATAAATCCAAAAGCAAGTGACCTCGTTTCAAAATATTCGTTGTCTTTGGTATGAAGGCTTAGAAATTGCTCGCACAAAATTAAGGACCAAATTTGGACTCGCTAGATTAAGATGGTCGCTACATCACCCTTTCACGGTCCCGTCCTGGGGATAATGGGTTTTGCTAAGCTACTTAAAGCGGTAACCACCAGTTGGAAAGGGTTGAATTCTCGTGTGGAATCCGGAAGATGCAGTAGGGTATTGAGGCTCGATCGTTGTGGTGACGTTAATTCCTGCAATACGTGAACCAGGGAATCGGATTGGGAGAGCAGTCGCTGATGAAGTTGTGCAAGTGGTGGTCGGGTTCACAGCAGGGTCGGTTTGCGATGGGTTGTTGAGAACTGGATCAGCGGGAGCAGTAGCACTGGCTAGAACAGTGCTGGTTGACTCAACACCGATTGAAGCAGTCTATAAAATGCGTCAGATAGGTTGAAAAAATAGAATTTTGGAATACATACCACCGTGACAGTACTGTAACGGGTAGTTGTTACAGTAATGTGTTCACAGTTACCATTCATACCGCCATTTCCACTGCCATTTCCATTTCCATTTCCATTGCCATTTCCACTTCCACTTCCACTTCCATTTCCATTTCCACTGCCATTCCCATTCCGATTTCCACTACCACTGCCATTTCCACTGCCATTTCCGCTGCCATTTCCACTGCCATTTCCACTGCCATTTCCACTGCCATTCACATTCCGATTTCCACTACCATTGCCACTTCCACTTCCACTTCCACTGCCATTTCCGCTGCCACTTCCACTGCCACTTCCACTGCCATTTCCGCTGCCATTTCCGCTGCCATTTCCACTGCCATTTCCGCTGCCATTTCCGCTGCTATTTCCGTTGCCATTTCCACTGCCATTTCCATTTCCATTTCCATTGCCATTTCCATTGCCATTGCCATTTCCATTTCCATTGCCATTTCCATTGCCATTTCCATTGCCATTTCCACTTCCACTTCCATTGCCACTTCCACTGCCATTGCCATTTCCATTTCCATTTCCATTTCCATTTCCATTTCCATTTCCATTTCCATTTCCATTTCCATTTCCATTGCCATTTCCATTTCCATTGCCATTCCCATTCCGATTTCCACTTCCACTTCCATTGCCATTGCCATTGCCGGATTCGCCATGATGGTTGTCAGAAGCAGGCATGGGAGTGACTGCAAGAGAATTAACTGTTATGAGAGTGGTTTGAGTGATAGTTGTTGACAAAGTAGTTGTCGGATCAGAAATATGTTGATTGTCTCTGCCATGTCCATTGCCATGTCCATTGTTATTGCCACTGCAATTGCCGCTGCCATTGCAATGATTATTGGTATTGCAATTGTTATTGCCGTTGCAATTGCCATTGCCATTGCCATTGCCATTGCTGGATTCGCCATGATGGTTGTTAGAAGCAGGCATGGGAGTGACTGCAAGAGAATTAACTGTTATGAGAGTGGTTTGAGTGATAGTTGTTGACAAAGAAGTTGTTGGATCAGAAATATGTTGATTGTCACTGTCATGTCCATTGCCATGTCCACTGTCGTTGTCATTGCCATGGCCATTGTTATTGCCACTGCAATTGCCGCTGCCATTGCAATGATTATTGGTATTGCAATTGTTATTGCCGTTGCAATTGCCATTGCCGGATCCTCTGTGATAATTGTTAGAAACAGGAGCGCGAGTGGTTGCAAGAGGATTTAAGGTTCTGTATTATAGGGGTTGTGGAAGTTACTGACGAAGTATTAATTGGATCAACTGTAGCGACGACAGCGCTAATCTGAATGCTAAAGTCAGTCATAGTCCATCATTAAACACACCCGGCTAGGAAAAATGGGTTGGTTTGACGAACAGGTTGGGTAACAGTTCTAGTAACTACAGAAGTCGAAGCTCCAGTTCCGAGGGTGTAAGTGACCGTAATAACTTTGCTGCTACCACCTGTTATATTTGCCGGCTCCCTAGAATGGGTCGGGTAAAAACCTGTGGTTAATGAGGGGCGGTGAATTGGAGACGTGGTGCCAGTGCTTGGTGAGGAACTTGAGACTGGAGTGGGATCACCATCGGAAGCACTACTCGAGACGTGATCAACTGGAAATAAATGTGTAACAACAGGAGGACCGAAGGTTGCTGTAGTCAGGGTGGTGTTTGTATGGGAACTGGAGGAAACAGGTATAGGATGAACGGCTACAGTGCGCGCAACTATGGAGGTCACACTTCCATGACTGGGGTGAACTGGATAATCACGAACCCGGTTCAGAGGCTTGGCTTCACTGACACCCGCCGAGGTTGCGACCAAAGCGATGATAGATAGTTTGCTAATGAAACGCATGTTGAAAACGAATGTGCAATCAATGCAACTTGTAATAAAAAGAAAATGAAAGGTTCAATTGTAAGACAGGGGTTATCCTTTGATGTTCCTTGTATCAACCAAGGAAGAAGAGGTACTTTTTCGGGATTTAATCGATGTTACAGCAACGAAATCAATTCGCTTGGTGTATGTAGCTGATAAAGAGTGACTGAATGGGGTATAAAAGAACGATCCCGTCGAGTAAAGAAAGCCTAAAATAATGTAAAACGGGAAAGTTATGAACGAAGAAAAGAGTGTGAGGGCGAAAACGCTGATGGGATGAGAAAGTCAAGAGAGAGAAAAACGAAGGGAATCGGAGAAGCATGGGGGAAATGCGCGATTCAAAAAGGATCCCGAGAACAAGTTCGTTTCTCCCAGAGGAACATTGTTTCCCATCTTTGGCAAACCCTTGATCTGGGTGGAGGCTCCACAGGCCCGCCAAATAAGACCATACGCCCGCCCGGTCTTCACAGCCCGGCCGGCTTCGGGAGTGGAGAAGCCGTCTCAGCAGGCATACTGAAGTTAGCTTCCCTGTTCAATGGCTCATTCGTCGCGCCTAAATTAATCCCAAGGAGGTATACGAAGTAATTAGTTCTTAAGAAATTGTCCGGGCGTCAATGGGGCCATTTTTGTTCGTTCCCTCAAACAAGTGATGGAGATGAGATTTTTACACTCAAGCCTTCTGTATGCATGGACAGGGAGAGAATGGCTGTGGTTGTGACCGTGGGTCCTTATGGAGTCGGGATCTGACACACGAAAAGTTATGCGCTAACTTGGCGTTACAAACCCGTTTTAGCGGAACCAACCGCGAGTTAAGCGTTGAAACGAAGCTGTTTATTTTTGATTTCAAGGGCCCCGCAATTTGCCAAACGATCCAAGTCTCTTCTGTCCACGCTGCAAGTTTAACACCCGCGACTTTTAATAACGGAAAAATCAGTCGAAAGTACAAGAGTTTCCAGTGCTCATGTGTACCCAAATAGTCGATCACAATTGGGGAGTTCTGAAGTGTATCTCGAGGTCAGCAGCAAAAGGGCTGTGTCTCGACCAATCTCCTGCTCAATTTCCCAGGAATCCAGGATCCAAAGGTTATGAAACATAGAATGTGAAACCACACTTACGTGATCCCGTTCCATGGCTTTTCACCGTATCAACAACCATCTTGTGAAATTATTATTGGTGCAATTACCGACGGAATGATTCCTTTAGATTTAAACGGCGCGGCACAACCCCTGACTAGCCTCTCCCTCAGCCAATTAAATACGGCGGTTGTTGCCATCAAATCTGCTGCAAAATTGTGACCCAGAACAACATCGCATGCAATCTTCTCGAGGAGAGATTCAGTTAGAGAAGCTGAGGAACGAGAATGCTTTTCAAACACTTAGAAAACGGATATCTCCTGAGCGTTTTGAAGTGGGGAAAATGGGCGATTTTTCTGAATTGTCTCGTCGCATCTCATCATTATGGAATAACATCCCCAAGAATGGTTTCTTCAAGGGATTTATGAGAGATTCATAAGTGTTTATCTAAAGCGCCAGCGTTTCGAGTTCACTTGGATTCAGAAGGATAGGAGTGGGACAGGACCGCAGGACCAGTCCACAAAATAAAGACCCTGCAATTATTATTTTAGAGGGACTGAGCTATCCGAAACCCGACTGAGACATGGTTCAGCAGTGGTTAATCAGGCTTGGAAGGTTATAACAGAGAATCAATTATAGAACGTAGTGAGGAGATGCCAGCTCACTGCAAGGCAGTTATGAATATGCAAGATTATAGCTTTCTGCTATTCTGAGGATATTGTATATACGTTTATGTTTATTCCTATCTGCCACTGAAAAAAAATGCATACTCCCGAATATTTTGGTTACAAGGCCGCTAAAATATAGGGGGGTGGGGGGAGGGGTTGCTAATGAAATTACCGGGGCATATCTGCGTAAGCTCGGACGGCTTTTCTTGGATGTGATTTAAATTCTGAACGGCTGATATGTTTGAGAGTTAGCTCTGATGCACAGTAATTATCCTTCAAGCTCGATACCCAGTGTGGTGATAGCACCCATGTAGCCACGTTAAACTGCAGTTGGAGCTTTTTCTGGCATGGTTTCTGCATCCTAGAATTTGACCATATACATTAAACCCTTTCTATAACGATTTAAACTTGGAAGCCTATTCAATTCGTTATATATAGGAAATCGCTATATAGAGGTTGAGCGTTCAAAGTACGCCCGACTATTTATCCTGCTGCTGATTTTCAAGTTTTCGTGCTCCTAACCTTCTCTCATAATAAAAATAATTGAGCTGTTGAATTAGACTCTGATCTCTCTGATCCTGCTGCTCCTCATACAAGCGAAGCCTTTTTACCAAATCCAAAGTCTCCGAAGCCGTAATCAGTGGAAGGGTCTATATTCATATCCTCATCTTGACACAATGGCAAGCTTGGTTGACGAACTAGTTATATGGTGGAAACATTTCACGTGACGGGAGTGTCCGACACAACCTTCATCACTCCCGTCATCAGAGTCTAATTATGCAATAACATATGGTTGGTAGCACTTCTGCTTTGAAGAACAGTGGACTGTCTGATCAAGATGATCATAACATGAATAAATGATCTTGGAGAAGGAGGATAGGGTGATATTTTGATTGTATAGCTTCCAAAACCAATGTCTTAAGGCCTTGTTGCTGAGGGTTAGATTCTGCGATTTATGAGCTCGTAGAGCTATCTATTGATTGACTGAAATCACGGTTCTGCGCGGCATTGTGACTCAGGATAACGAATTATATATGGAAAATCTAATGAATAATTAACGAATTTCGCTGTATAGAGGTTTGAACAAATTTTTATATGAAGGATGAATTCAGGAAGGAAGTTTGTATATTCTATGGAGGATTTCGTTATATGAAGGTTCGATGTAGCGACGGTTTACCGTATTGATATAGGAGCATTTATTGAATTCCTGGTCATTTCCAGCCTGTTGGGTGTTGAGTGGAAAATAGCTAAATACAGGTGTGATGGAATGACCCAGGATCGAAGTTTATCTCAAGGTCAGAGTCACGAGCCAAGGAATTAGGATTCAAACCAGTTTCAATCCAAGTCACTAAACTTGTTTGACTACATGGCATAACTGTGTGAAGGGACATGGTTTTGAAGGGTCAAAGCCTCCAACCTGATCCTAGATAACCTTATAAAAAGGGGTGTGTCTATACTCCATCTGAAGAAAACGTTCCGTCGACTAGAACCGACGTTGTTGTCCATGCGATTCGCTGTCGTCATCAATGCGGCACGTGAACGTGCATACGCCATGGCATCCAAGCCTGAAATACACTATCTGCATGAACTACGGCAGATCTATCGAAATTCTCTCCTGGATTTCATTGCATCCTTCAGAACTATCCAGGTTTTAGATTCGGTGCGCGGAAACAGCCTGGAGGCTGCAGAACCAGTCAAGCTTTATATTTTGGACTCGTCCTTCAACCCTCCCACCATTGCTCATCTCAATATTGTGAAATCGGCCCTTGCTCAGCATGACGATCCATCATCCATCAGGCTGCTGCTTCTTCTAGCCACACAGAATGCCGACAAACCATCCAAGCCCGCCTCGTTCGAAGATCGGCTCGTTATGATGCAACTTTTTGCTCAAGACATTCAGGATTCTATCTTACGAATCCGTACAAGCAATGATGATAATGCGTCAAAGAACAGGAAAAATTCACCAAATATTGATATCGGAGTAACTAAGTTGCCATATTTTATAGACAAGGCAGAAGCAATTTCCACGTCCAAAGTGTATCCGGAATCTCTTGAGCAGATTCTTCTTACAGGATATGACACACTCGTTAGGATCTTTGACACCAAATACTACCCCCCAACATATACATTGCAACCACTGAGCCGGTTCTTCAGCAAAAACAGACTTAGAGTGACCTTTCGACCGGATGATGATTGGGGCGGACAAGAGTATCAAGAATCGTTCCTACGCAATCTAGCCCAGGGAGCCAGAGAACTCGAAGGAGGTAAACGAGAATGGGCTGATCGCATTGAGCTGAGTGAAGGGAAGAAGCCGGGAGAGAAGGCTGTGAGTTCAACTAAAGCCAGAAATGCTGCGATCAATAAAGATGTCAATGCATTGAAAAAATTGGTCACTCCAAATGTCTGTGAGTGGGTGCTGTCCCAGAAGTTGTATGAGGGCTCATGAGTGCAAGAGTGATTTCATGGGTGATTCTACAATTCAGGCATATTCACTTATAGAGGTGCCTAATGTAGGCTTTCATTTCAATTGGTTGTTGGCAGGTGTTCGTTCTATAATTTTGAGATTTGCAAATGTCTTACATGCTTGAGAAGAGTAGGAGGAATCTGAGATCAATCATGTCCTCATGACCAGAGATATGAGATCACAAATCAGTCAAATGAACAAAGCTCAAGAGCTCAATGGAATATCTGGACTTCAAATTCTAAAAGAAACAATCGCGTATATACATATACCATTGCATTTAAAACCCATCCCAGAGAAAGGAAGCATGCTTACTTATGCATATACATATCAAAAAACACCACCTTCCATGCCGTAGACAATATAGTACAAAAGAGATACAAGAGGGATAAATCACAAAACATTTCAAAATGAGATAATAATATTAAAATCCCCGCCACCTTTCAAACACTTAGTCCCTCCCCATCCTCCCCCTTTCTCTTCCCAAGTATATAAACCAACCCGCCACTCACCATATTTGCAAATCCCAACCCCATAGCTGCCCCCCTAACAATTCCTCTAGCTCCCCACTTCTGCATAAACTGCTGTTTTCTTTTCGCGGCAAGCAGCAAGTACAGACCCGACCAAGCTGCGCTCACACCCGCCGCATCGACCTTATGGTCCAGGAGATTGAGATATGTGGTGAATAAGAGGGCGGGGGGAAAGATCATGGGGAGAGGCTGGAAGGGTCGCATGTGTTGAGCGGCGATGAGAGTTGCAAGAATCGTAGGTGGGAAC